GGAGGGAGGGATAGAAGTATTAGTGATAAGAGAGAATCATTGATCAGCTGCCTCCTGCGCACCCCATACTAAGGATTGAGCCACAACCCGGGCCTGTGCCCTGACGGGGAATCGAATCGAATCGAATAGTGTCCTCCTGGTTCATAGGTTGATGCTCAACCACGGAGCCACGCCGGCCGGGCTTTCTTTCTTTCTGAAGGCTTTTGTTGTGCCTGTCGACCACGTTTATTCATTTATCTGAAGCTGATTCTCCATCCGAATCTCCACCTCCTCTCACCCTTCGGGTTGGCTCTGGGTTAGAGGGAAGTTCAAGGGCGATCTGTGTTCATAGGAGCATCGCATGCTGACACCGTGCCCTCCGGCAAACAAGGGCTTCCCCGGGGCAGTTGCCACTGCTGGGAAGTTGGTCGGCAAGGGCTTCGGAGCGTGCAGGGCACGAAAAGGGACGTGTTCATGTTTTCCGCATCGGGCTGTTGTGGTCAGTAAATCAATGAGATCACATAGTGGCACTCCCAGCACGGACCCAAACCCCGGCTCAGGTGGCATGGAGGCACGGAGTCCCTCTCTGCTTAGGCACCTGCCCTCCGAGGAGGCAGCGAGGGGGAGGAGGAGACGTGAACTACGCGTGCTTTTCGGAAGGAGGTAGGAGGAGTAGCCCGTGTGGTTCTTGCACGGAGGGGCCCTGGTTTGGACAGAACCTGGCACGGGGACAGGCCGGGCTGTGGTGTCCCTTTAAGTTCCCAGAGCGTCTCACCATGTGCGCCATGTCCCTGTCGGTAAACGGTGGGCAAGGCTTGGCAGGGCTCGTGGTCTGCGTGGCACTTGTTCTTCTGGAAAACTGCTCAGCCCTGAGTCTCACAGGAGCCTCGGCGTAGGGATCGCTCTGATTCCGTGTCTTGTCCCGTGATTGGTGGTTTGTGGAGAACTGATATAAAGCTAGCTGGCGGTTAGGGCCGCCGAAGGAGGAACACATGAGGCCCAAGTGCTAAGGGATAATGAATTTATTAGGTCATCTGGATACCCGGTTGGGCTGAGCCCCCAGATGGCACCAGCCCCCACAGACGGGGAGTCAGCGGCTTTTGAAGGATTTGAGGCGGCTTTTTCTGGGCAGAGAATTCTCTGTTTAGGTCTGGATTCCGGGAAACTCCGGAGGGGAGAGAGAATGGTCTCGCCAAGTGGAGTGTGGTCTAAGCCAGTGGAGTTCCCATTGTGAAGTGGCCTGGAGGTCGGATCCCAGGGGAGGGGGTTTCGATTCAATTATTTGATCAGACCCAACCCCGGCTTAGGTTGGTTTCTTCATCCCTTCCCTCATCCATCTATTCCCTTTCCCATCCATCCATCTATTCCCTTTCCCATCCATCCATCTATTCCCTTTCTCCTCCCTCCATCCCCCCCCCCCCCACC